GGCTCGGCGATGCCGCCACGCTTTCCCCGTCCTAGACAACAGATGTCCCTCTGCCGCGCCGGTCGACTACCATTTGGCATTTACCCGTTACCGCCTTCGTCGTCGTACAAGACGGAAAAAAACGCGCGCGCACCCGCAAACACGCACCGTCATTCACCCGCACTCGCACGCGCTGTACACCGTAACGCACGTCAACACGACGTCGGGTCAACGTTTTTCGCGTTTTGTTTATCTCTCCGATATTTTATTATACATTTTATTATCAGAGATTTATGTACCGAATATAATATTATTACTGTTGTAATAATAATAATTATGTGTGTTTGACACGGTTTTATCACCGTCGTAGACGAGACACGTCCGAGAGTCCAACRTCGTCACAGTCTCGCGCGCCCCCGACGGATTTGGATATTACGTTATCGCGCGTCGTCCATCATTATTCAAGTTCAAGTTCGTACTGTTCGTAGTTTYGTACATGTCCCGGTGCACCGAGTGACACCACTGACTGTAGTGACTACTGACGTTCAGCGACGACAAACGGCTAGGATCAGAGATCATCAGTAGTTGTTGTCGAGCTCGCCGAACCTTTGACCGCCGCCTTCCGATTTGTCTTCGATTCGAACCGTAATCAGGTAATTATAATAATGGCGCACAATGTTACTATGTCCGGGAACGAACTGCCGCCGACCGTAACGATATAATATGCCAACTGTCAGCGATTGATTGTTTTCCAGTGTAATAATGGCCGATCAACAGCAATATTTCTTGAAATGGAACGATTACCAGAGCAACATGGTGTCGTCCTTCAAACACCTGAGGAACGAGAAAAGTTTCACCGACGTAACACTTGCCTGCGAAGGACAAACGTGTAAGGCACACAAAATGGTGTTATCAGCCTGCAGCCCTTACTTCAAAGCACTGTTAGAAGTAAGTCCCATCATATCAGACTAATAGCCACCTGATTCTTTCAGAAAAACCCAGTTTAGTTCTTGTTCTTTTTGTTTCATCTATATGTCCTCTGCTCGCAATACATTAACGGTTTACGGGTGAATAGATTTATAGGGTTTGATAAATTTATGAATGACAACATTATTCAATATGTGYTYCATGTCATGATGGATTTGTACGATTCTAGACAAATTGCCTTAACCAGAGTCATGAGAAACAGGAGTCCTAAGGGCCGCTTTCACCAAATACTTTAAACGTCGACTACGCTTAATCAACTGATAACAGTTATTTAACTGGCCAAATTCAGCCGATTAAACCCCGGTTTAACTTAATCGTAGTTTAAAGTAGTGGTGAAACCGGCCCTTAAAGTTCTAAAATAAGATGTATGGTTTTTCTGTTTATATCAGTTTAATTTTTATCTCAGATTGCATTATTGTTTATGCTTTCAATATTAATTACCTGATAATTATAATTTATAAGCTATAATAATTATTGACAAACATCTAAAAACTTTAATTTTTAATCTGTTTGGTAGTTGATGGGTACCTTTTCATGGTAACCCGAGATCTGTTAAGTGAAACAAAAATTGTTGTACAAGGCGATTTAAAGTGTTATAAAATATTATTTTTTTTAAGAAAACGACTTTTGAATCTTAAAATATTTGAATTTATGTTTAAATTTACCATAATTTTTAAACAAGTCCGATTATTATAACATTTAAAGGATATTGACATAGGTTTTTAGTAGACATAATATAATAACAATTTTTAAAGTATAATTTTAGTGTAGGTAGGGTAGGTACCTATTTAGTATATAAATTGAATAATTTACACATGTTTATAAATATTTCAGGAAAACCCATCAAAACATCCAATCATAATACTCAAAGATGTACCTTTCAGTCATTTGCAGTCTATACTTGAATTTATGTATGCAGGAGAAGTTAATATAAGCCAGGAACAACTGCCAGCCTTTCTTAAGACAGCTGATCGTTTGAAGGTAAATTAAAATTTGTTCATACAAATTAATTTCATTATCAAAAGAGAAAGTTCAAAGGTACACATTTAAGATAATTATTATTAAATAGCTAATTAATTATCTTAACATGTAACGTCTCGAGTACTTTTATAATTTTGTCAGTAAATGTAATTAAGCTGTTAAAGTATTTAAATTTAATATATAATTAATAATATTATTAATATATAAATTTTAAATTAAATGTTAATCAATATTTTTATTAATATTTTGTCTACCATAATATTTAGAATCCAGAGTAGTCTGCACCGTATGGTAGGTTTTTGTCTTGGATGTGTTATATTTAAATCCAAACCATTGGATTACTTATCCTTTATTTTGATTACCGAGTCTCTTAATAATTCTGTTATTTTGACTATTGCCAACTATGTCAAGACTATCAACTCAATTAATAAAATTAAATTAAATATGACCATTTTTTAATTCACTGTATCTTGGAAGTAAATCTTATTTTTGAAAAAATTCAAGGGCTTCGTTTTTACTGTTGGATAAATTCTAAGTGATTCATAATTATAACTAATCGTAAATTGTTAACTAAAATAATAAAAAGAATTTTAAATGTCAGTTAATCAAATATCAACTTTGCTTACCATGACAATCAGCATTTAAAAGTTTAGACAACAAAATTTTAGAATTTTTGGATCAGGTGGTAGTCGTGATAACAGATAATTGACTGGCAGTAGCCAAAATAAAGGATAGGTACTATTTTTATTTTATACATACTATTATTATTCATTTCTTTCTTTTTTTTTATCATCCATCAATCCACCCTTGAACTAATTTTTGCCAAAAACATAAAATATAGTGTACTATAATTACTAAATTATTAAATAATTATTTATAATCATACATGATATTGTTATTAACTTGAATTAATATCTAACCCAATACTCTGTCTCAAGGAAGAATAATCAGTGGCCAACTTATTTTCTTCAGTTTTGCTTATCTCCCACCAAGGACTCTGTGGAATTGCATAATTCATGATGTGCAAAAAGTGATAGTTATTTATTTTTACTGAAAAAAAAAAAACAAACTATTGATTTTGTTTAAACCTGGGTTTATATAACTATACCAGATTTTCTGCATTTTAATGTTGATATGTTTATGATTCTATTGAAAAGTACTAGGAATTGTTCACTTTTAAGTTTTAACTCCAATGATATTCAATTTTCTACCTGAAACCTCAATCAGTTGAATATTGAATTATTTTTACTGCTCTAAAATATAATCAGCGATAAAAGACTTGACACAAAACAAAACATTATTGTGTAAAACCAATACATTTTTGAAAATTTGAAAATCTTTAWAACGCTTTGAAAARTAAATATCAAAAAGTTTATGTGGGGCTCAAGTAAATTAAATACATTTGATACCTACATTAATTCATTCTAATATAATAAATGAATTATTCTGAGTGTTGAATTTTATATTTTATACATTACTAAGACACGTATTGTGAAAACAGCCAAAAAACTACATTTTGAAAAAGTGTTGATAATTTAGCCTTAGTATTTATTTTCCTTTATCTCAATTATTCTCTTAAGAGTAGATCCCTCTTTTASTTTTTTAGTTAGTAATAACTATTTCTTTTCTTGGCTACTATTTTTCTAAAATTCAACTTATTCTCAACTCCTGTTACTTTCTTGTTCATAGTTATTATAGAAAAAATGTACCTAGTTAATATAATATATATTCTTAATAATTTTATTTCTTAATTTATTATCGTATGTATAAATTTACGAACTAAATAACACTGCCATATTTTATAGTTTTAAAATAAAATAAATTGTTTGTACCTTTCCATATTTAACCTAGAAACCATTTTTGTTATACACCACAAATATATTATACAATTTAATTTTAAGTTTGATGATATTATATTTATAATATTACTATATTTCAATTTATTATAAATTAAAAGTGAAAACAATTATTTCTTTAAACATATTATTTATAAACCTTATTAATTTTTTAATACCATTTTTTTTTTTTAGGTCAAAGGTCTTGCAGAAGCTCCACAAACTATTAAAAAAGATTAGTATCTACTCAACATTGCTAAATATGTTTTTAATTACTTTAATCTTTATTAGTATACTAATGAAGAGCCCAAATTTGCATTATTTTCCTTTCCTTTTTTAATGAATTATTATTTTATTTGTATTTACCTATATTATACATTTGTCTATACATTTTACAACAGTACAATTAAAAGCCAAAAATAACAAAAAAAATTAAATATTTATTTTATAGGAATAAATTCTTAAGTATAGACATTATGTGTTAATATGTAGTTGCAAAATGTAATTTTTGTTGTTACATAAAACAAAAACAAATCAATGAGTTTTGTAAATATTATACTTGTCTTGTACATTTATCATGAATTACAATTATTATATTTTATTTTAATACAGCATATTAGTCCATGTTAATAATTGAAAAAAAAATGTATATACACATAACATTTCCAGAGTAAAATATATGTGGTTGACGTCTTTGTAATTTTGTTTTGTTTGTTAAATAATTGGAGGTACCAAAAGTTAATCTTTCAAATTTCATGAATTTATCATACAGTAAATTCTCTAATAAAATTAAAAATTACTTTTAAAGAACTTTTTAAATTTCCAAACTGATTATTGGTTGAACGTTGGTAAAAGTTTTAACTAGTTACAGTGTTCATTTAATTTTTGAAAGCAATACCATTTTAACATTATTTTTAAAATAATAGTTGATGAAACAAAACAAGTGTTATGTTTTGTTACTGTTGCTGCCATCAACTGGAAGTCTGAAAGYGTCTATAAACCATCTTATGTATGGGATATTAACTGTATAATACTCAACAAATATTTAAATGTACATGATATAAAATTAAAAAGATAAACGTACATTTTGTCTCCAACAAAAAATTAAGTTCAAGGTAACAGATTTACTTTGGTAATTATGTTTACCCAACTTCAATTATTTAATTTTCTAAGGTTTTACTTACATTACGTTAGAATAGATGAGTAATAAAAAAATTATTAGGAGTAAATAAATATTTAATCTAAATCAAAGGTATTGAATCTTTTCTAATTTCTAGGAAATATTGGCGGCATATTCTCTAATCCACTTAAATCAAAAATCATGTACCATTAATATGTTTATATGTATACATCTATACTCTGTCCCATGAGAGAAGAAATTCGACCCCTGCCGGTAACAGCGTGGAGGCCCAATTGCTCCCATTATTAACCGTCTGAGCACTACGCATGTAAGGAGTCGTTGCCGATCCAAAAGATGAAAAAACGTGTTCCTTCTGTCATGAAACAGAGCATATAAAAATTTTTTGGAGCTAATTTCCAAGAAACTGAGGTTTGTTAAAAAATGAAATATATTGGAACATTATTATATTATATTTGGAAGCAATGAAATAAAAACTGTTTAGTGTCATTAAAATTCAGCCAACTTGGTTATAACAACACTATATTGGGTATGCACATGATAGATAATCACGTATTAATTTAGATTGGCCCCCTTGACACAATCTTATATTGTATTCGTTATATATATATACCTAAAGAAATTCTGTTTTATTATATAATTTTAAACATTCATAAGGGAATTTGGTTAAACTATAAATACAATAAATGTTAACTAAAAATGCAATTTAAAAACAAGTTTATTATTTGTGAAACAAATCTATATAAACACCGTTAAATAAAGCGTCATGTAGAATCAAATTTTTTTCAATTATTAAATTAATATATTATAATAAGGAAACAAGCTTATTCACATTAATATATGGTAAATTTGAATTGAAGAAATTTTAAAACTTAAATATTAACACCAACAAGGACGGATACTTTTTTTCTTCAGAGTTCAGGTCATTTAATTTTTTTGAGTAAATTGATTTCAAATGGTATTGCTTAAAATACACAATCACAATATTAACATATAAATAAAATATCTCATCATAATACATAAAATAAATGTATGGAATGTATAGTTATCTTCAAAAAATATTAATAAAACATGATACGTTTTGTGTCTGGTTTAACAATAATAAACAATCTTATGCAACAGAACATCTTGTTTGAGGATTAGTAGTATTTTCGTTTGTCAAACGTTCAGACTCAGCTAAAGCTCTAGCTAATGCTTCATCTTCACTCTGAAAAATAAATATTTAACATTATGTACTAAGTAAATAWAAATATGTAAAATATGGAAGTATAATAGTTATTTAAGACATTTAAGTAGTAGTATATATTTCGCATATTTAATACAAAGATTAGCAACTTCACTATAACATAGTGAGTCAAGTGATGTGGTATAAATATATTGGTTATACATTAATTGTTTAGCATAACTAAAAAAGTTAATTAATACATAGTTAAGAAAAGAGATACTGTAATCATTGTTTGATGTAATCATCTCGCCACAACGCTAACAAAATGTATCACACTGTCACCAGGTTACTATCAGTTAACAATAACAAATAAAAAATAACAATATATTTTCTATATAACATGTTAAAAGTAAGAAATAATTAATTTTTTTAACAGTGATAGTTAATTATATGCAAAAAAAAGACAATTTTCCCAAGTTTCTTAGATGTCACACATTTTTTGAAGTTAAAACAAAATGTTTGWTGTAAATGTTATTATTTCTATTTCACGAAAAATTATCTATTAAAGTAATTAATCTAAAATATTACTCTAAATGTAAAAAAAGTTTCCATTTTAAAAACTTAAATTTTACTCACACAATATGATCTAAGTTCATTCATTACATGAAAAATATGATCACACTAAGTGGATGTCACATAAAGATAAGTAACATATTATATAATTTTTGAAACTGCAATTAATGATGTCTTATTAATATACATGATTTTGATGTTCAAAATTAATTCTTTAGTTCAGCAGTCTAGCATGTTATGAAATATTTTTTAGTAAATATAAAAACTTTATTTCTATAAGAAAATTACAATGCAATTTGGTTTTTCGGACAAATACATAATTTWAAAAAAAAGTAGAAGGTAGATCTTCACTTTAGTTTTATTGATTTTTATGCATTTAACTGCTAAATTTATATTATTAAATAATATTGCTATTTAAAATTACCATATTTCCCTGTATAGCAGTTGCAGTGAAAGCTTTTTTTATAATTCCATTGGTTCCAAACAGRTTTTTAACATCGCTACAAGGAAAAAAAAATATAAAAATATATTTTTTTTCATATTTGGCATAAATTTTAATATCCACTTACGTCACTTTTCTTTGAACAGATTTTGCACTACCAGTGCAACTATGATCTAAAGGRTGACGATGTTTAAAACAATGGTTTTGACGACATTCACTACACACCAAAGGCACAGCTTCTTTGCCTCGACATTTTGATACCATGCATCTATTTGTGAACACCTATAATAACAATCATTTGTAAATAATACAAGATTAAAGATTAATCCTAATAATTATAAATAAATACCTTTCTACCCTCAGTAAACTGACAGTCATTGTCAATGTGTTTCCCAACAATAAAATCTGSTTCTTGACCCCGTGGTATTGGTACTGGTTTGTTGCACAAAGGACACATGGGGACTTGAACATTTTTCTTGTATGCAGATTGACATTGATGACTGCTGTAGCTCATGTGATCAGAACTGCGACATCAGAGATGAATCGTCTTATATAGTTATATATAGATAAAAAAAAAATGTATATACACATAACATTTCCAGAGTATAACTTACCAAAATATACCTGAACAAGCATCACATTTAACTGGCAAGAAATCTATATTGAAAAAAAAAATTATTAGAATATTAAAAAAAGTTTCTTAAATAGTTAATAGTCTAAGATGCTTAATCGCAATGTAATACAGATTATGGGTGTTGATATGCTCGGTAAAAACTTAAATGAATTATGAGTTACACTATGGTTCATATTTATTTAACTAGGTGGCTAGGTCGTATATTAAGACTCAAATAAGTATTTTTTATTTTAAATAAAAAAAGTAATATATACATGTTATGTATAAATATAAAAAATGTGGTGATTAAGTATATAGTAATTGATTTTTAACTGACGCTTGGTAGCAAAGTAGAACCCACTTAAGAAATTTTATTAATTTTTTGCTTAGGATTATACATCGTTTTCAACATGCTGAATTACATACGTAAAAAAAGGTATTCAGTAAAGCAAAAATACACTGCTTCTCAAATAGGTATCGACACTAAAATTAAGCACAGAAATGAAACCAAAATAAAGACAGATATTGTAGTTAAACTATTAACTAGGATTTAAGATTTCTATAAGAATATTGTTATCACAAAGCATTCTAATGATTATTCTTAACTCACCAAAACGTTTGCAAGTCTCTTTACTGCAGTTCTGACCCAAGTTTGGGAATTCCATGACGGCACCGGTGGAAAAGTTACAAATGAAAAACAAAGAAATTCGTCGAACAAGGAACTCTGAACTAGACTTCCGTGTTTCTTTAGTAAATATGTACGACCGTACAGTGATATTGTGCGCCTTGTGTCAACTGAACATTCCCACTTTACCAGTTCTCTTGACTATCAACTAGCTACGGGATTAAGGAAGGTGACGGCCGACCGGAGATTGAAGAATGAAGAGTACATTTCCACCATTACATCAACGAGCGCAATTCGCACAGAGTACAGACCAGAACACGACTGTGCACTGTCATTACTCATTATCTTCAATGTGGCAATGTGCTGAATCACGCCATCACGGTATTATCAGTCGTTCAGTCCTCGTTGGCGCTAACGATGACGTCATTTTGTTCGAATGTTCTTTACGCGTCCCATGCCCTTGTTATCACGGTTCTCATGACGACAGCAATAAAAACAATAACAAAGACAAAAAAAATCACTAAAAACAACTGTTGTTAAAAACTGTGGAAAAAATCCTTATTCAATGTAAAAGAAATTTAAATTTAAAAAAATTTCAATGTCTACACTTTGTTTTTGATAATAGAGATATAATAAAATAAAATATATTAGGTAAAATATGATGCATATATATAATGGTTAAACTAATATTAATAAGAATTTAAAGTATTTTTCCTACACAGAGTGATTCACAAAGCCAGGTCATCCTTATTTTTCCATTAAAAATGAATTTATTCAAGTTCTGATTTTTTGAATGTTTAAATAACAAACCATGTAACCAATATAAATATATTTTCAAATTATTGAGATTTTTGTATACTTAGGGAGTACCCACGTATCGTGTGGCGATACAAACTTTTGCTTTTATAAAGGAGGTTTAGAACTTGAATAAATTCATTTGGAATTTTTTACCGTAAATTATTTAATGGGTCTTTTTTTTTGAAAATGTTGATACCTAGTTCAAATTTCGTAAGAGTAAAAGTTTCTCAATTATTAAAATGTTAAACTAATGATAGTGATCAAATGCATAAAAAATATAAAATAGTTGTATCATTGGATCTAGTTTTTATTTTATTTGGGCCATTTTTAAATAATAAACGTTGATAGATTAATCATTAAAAATTTTTCTTATTATCATAATATCTTACAAACCCATCATGGACTTATTATCCATAGTGTATAAAGTTAAATAAATCTAATACTAGGTAATGGAATTATAATTTTGATATCTACGTCAACGTTTTTAGAAAATGTACTTTATTTAGTTTTGATTATGATTTAATTTTTTTTTTTTTTACTTAATTAGCTATTAGTTAGTGACTATGAAAGTTCGACGATTAATTTAAGTTATATAAATATTAATAGGTTATAACTTATAATAATATTATATAGGCTGACGGACCGTCCGAGAGGTTCGTCTCAGAATTGTTTGCGTATGATATAGTTATTTATCATAGAATCAAAATTTAACTCATCCATTAAAGTGACCTTCTCAATGACGAGGCACATTCATCTGTACCTAATTTTCAGTAAAGTAGATATTATATAGGTAAGTACTTGCCAACTTTTTCTTGTAATGTTATTAAATCAAAAATAGTAAATAGGTACCTACATAGAATAAGTAAAAAAAATTATTTAAAATATAAAAATACCTACTAGGTATTTATTTTAAATACTAATATTTTGAGAAAGTATATACAATTTTACCTTTAAGGCACATTATTCATATTGTTTGTGAATTTGTTATATTTTAAAATATAATTAAATTAGAATATGACATCCAAACAAAAAAGTTTGTTATAATTTTTTCACTACTACAGGCTACAGCTACTAACTGCTTTCAAAGCATACACATTTGTTTAATACATAATAAAGCAACATAGCGTACAATGTACATTAAGTATTAAATGCCAAGTTGATCCATGATTTATTTTTACGTTTATACAATAATAAAATAAATGAATAAATAACAATATTAATAGGAACTWTCAACTAAGTACGGTGGGACGTGGGAGGCATGTCAAATAATTTTTGGTTCGCTGTAACTATTATTATAAAATATAATATTAGTAATAACTCTGACCATAACGGCGCGCGAATTTAAATCTTTTGCCAGTTGGCAGTACTGCGGTGACCGACCGGTTGCGAGAGGCGCGCATCCGTGGCTCCGTGCCCCGTGGGCCGTTCTACGACGGTCTCCCCCGACGAGATCATTTCGGCGGCGCGAGCAGCGGCACGTCTCAGTCACTCCCGGCAGTTGTTTTCCAACGTTTTTCGTGGACTGACTTTGGTTGGTAGACGGGCGGTTAGTTGTGACGAGTGCGATCTTAATGTACCTTTCGTCGAATGCATAGTTTTCCAGTTGGGTTTCAAGTTTTTAAAAGCTGCAGCCCCGACGTGAAATCCGTGAGTTAGACAATATTTATATATTTTATATTATGCATTTATGTTACATACTATATAATATACGTTTACGGTTTATTGCCAATAACGGRCACATTAGTGTAAATGTTTCATTAATATTCGAGACCGAGTGTTGCATACTATAGTAGTTTATAATAGGTACCTTCAACGTATGTATCTACGTAATTTATTTCTAACTTATAAGATGCTGGAATAGATGTATATATAATATTATATATATACCTAGGTAATTGAAAAGACATTGAGTGATAGTTTTGTGCGTTTTGGGAGTACCTATGATAAAAAATAGTCATAGTTATTAGCTAGGTACTTATTACGTTAGAAAATATAAAAATACCTAGTATATACCTACTTCATTAGTGAACCTTTTTTTTAGTACTTATACAAATAAAGTGAAATAATCGATGATTTCAATTTACTTTTGGATTTTAAGTTTCAGAAATATGATTCCTATATTACTATATTAACTACATTTATTACGATTCAACTTATTATATTACGAGTATTATTATATTTATAACAATAAGCATACATTTTAAATGACGTAGATAATTGAAGAACAAAACATTTTATTTAAGTATATCTTTATTAATTAATGCAGATTAATAAAATTACCTAAAACAGTAAGTAACGGAAGTCAAAAGCTTCACCATCACCMCTACACTCCACCTCAGTTCATTAGTGTAAACGAGGAAGTATAGGAACTGTGATTGAACCTAACATTAACCCAGGGGCGTCATTTCTACTTAATTATTGTTAGTGCAAACATTTTTGCAGGCCATCTCAAATCATTACCAGGCCACAAAACTTTTTTTTTGTGGGAGGGAGGCCAAGTGGGGACAATATTTTTAGAATATCTGTACAGTTTATTTAATATAAAGTTACATAGACATTATGTTGAAAATATCATAATTATTACTATTTTAGTCTTACTGTTTGTACTTATAATTTATTTATAATATTTTTACTTATTTTATGGTTACCAGTGTCCAGTGGTATTTATACTTCGTAAATAAAATTACAGGTACCTTAGTAATAAAATAGGTACCTAAACGAACGTAACCTATTCATTTTTTTCACGGCACTCAAAATACATAATATAAGGCATAAGCTAGCTTAATAAAACCTGTAATTTATTGTATAGGTACCCTTGCTCACAACTGCACAATAAACWGTTGTATAATTAATAAAATAAAACATATTGGTATACCTAATATATTTATATATATWTTTTTTTTTAATACTGAAAAAATATAAAATATATATAGTGTAAAACATTTAGGTGTAACAGCGCATGTATTTATTGTTGGCAGACCAAAGAAGGTGTTTAAAAAAAAGGTGGTGAAAATGTACACTTTGCACCCCACACCCCAAATAATGCCCCTGCTTTAACCCATAATTCAGTAGTAATATTAGTTTTATTTAGTACCTATATTAATTCTCATTTGGCAAATAGACTGATAAGCTTTAACAGGGTACTTTACAATGGGACAGTCATTTTCTGTAAGGGATGTCAAACATTTTTACGATTTACTCACCCCATATCTATRAAGTATATAAAAACAAAAATATCTTAATSAATATAGTTATTAGCGAGGTTATTAGTTTATCAAATAATGAAATAATCTACCAGTAAATTTACCACACATCCACTATTATCATTGTGGGGTYGACCAAAATTTCTATACYCTTTCGTGTGCGCTATACTGGTGATTTATAACATCATAAAAATTAAATCATTTACAACTTTTATCATTTTCCTGTCCATATCTCCGTAAAGATATTATGCAAGAAATTATTATAGACTTTTAAAGATAACTATATAGACATTTATTAAAGTGTTTTTATATGTATAGGTACTTGTTATTTGTTTTTGATCGGTTTATATAATGATCTAATTAATCAAAAATTCTCAATATTATGACATTGATACTACGGATTAATTTGCTCTCAACAATATAATACATAATTTTTACTTTCAAGTCAGAGTTATAGATGTAAGCTCGGGTGTATGAAATATCAACTAATATTTGTTGCTTATTTCTCATTTAAGATTCCAAACTGATATATTTTATGCATAATCACATTATAAAATKTAATGCGTTATGTCTTGCTGATGGGTAGGCGGCAGCCAAACAGGTTATTTTGGTACCTAAATATTACGTATAACAATAAATAAAACACAAAAATGCGTGTGTGAGAATAGGTACSGCAATGGACTTGCCGAAAACCATCAACATTATTTATATTGTTGTTGATTTGAGATTTTATATTATCACACATGATATTTTTCTAGATTATAACTGGAAATAATTTAACACTATAGGTACTTACAAAATAAAAAAAGATTTAAACATAAAAAATTAAGTTATTATTTGATATTCATTTTATTGTATATAATAATAGTGTAAAAACAATTATGAATTACATGCGAGTAGGTACATACATTTTTATTCATTGTTTATTCTAGTTTTTATTTCCATAGAAACATGTAAATGTCCAGGTGTTATATTAAGGGGGTGAATGGTCGTCTACTATTATTTATATCCGTAGTAGCAAATTAAATATAAATGAAGGKACTCCAGAAATGTATGGTTTTTTTTTTATTAAATACATTTAATTATATTATGAATAGCATAAAATGATATTCTATTAACTTTGTCGTATAAGAAATGCCATAGTATTATTAATACTATAATATCAGATAGGATATAATGCTGAGTCGTACAGTCTTGGGAATCTACAATATTTTACACCTGCCAAATGTTTAGAATTAAGTATAAATATTATATATTATTATAAATTATTTATGAAACATTTTTTTTGACATTTTGAAATACCGCGCATCTGAACCTTTCCTATTTATATTAGTATATTACATTTAATTATATATTTTATTACTATCAAGCATTGAAATTAAAATAGTTTAATTTCAGTTGATTCGTKTAACACGAATTCGTCAATACCACAGTATAATTAAATTATTCAAAATTTAACTTTCCGTAAATTATTTAGTATAATTTATAAGATTTTATAATTTACTCTAAGTTCCAATATTGATCTCTTCCCCTCTTATCGGCTGAGAAATTTCGAAAAGAGTGATTTAGGTTTTTTGTTCATTACACACTATTACCACGATATTTCAATGTTTTTGATATAAGAAAATTAATACTAATTTCCATTATATTTATTTCAATAATAAATTACAATAATACATTTAAATAATTTATAAATCTACAATGTTAGATGTTACAGTATAAAAGCCTAATGATTTATTTAAAATGTTAAACGTTAAAAAAACATTTAATTATTTATTTATTATCTATCATTTAGAAATCTGCAGTGATATTTGAAGGAATTAAAGGTATTAACTAAAAATCTAATGTTAGAAAATTTGTATAATGCGTGTATTTTATTCATTGTACATTTGCGTAGAATATATGAATGTGCACATGTACTAAGGCCAATAAGGGACAAGTTATTTACAATTACAATTTACAGCATTCGTAAAAATGTATTGATTTGAACTTTAATAAATTTAAATTTATAAGTTTGATATATTGAATAGCATATTGGACATTGGAAAAATAATGAGTTGTGAATAATAAATATTCGAGTTACTTGTGTTTTATATGTATAAGCCATGATAATAATAATATACTATAATTTATTAATTTATTTCATAGGGATTAGTTTTTCTAAATTAATTTTAATGTTTGACAATTTATATTTAATTAATTGTTWTGGATGGAAGGAAAATGTACCTATTTTTACTTTTTAGCGTTGTCTAATATTATTTAGGTATAGATAAGTAATATAAATTAATAAAATTACAGCGTTTGTCGTGGCGTTTGTTTTTATCAATCTTGATTCGTTCTAAAACGAAAATTTAAATGCAACTTTCCTTAATCGAATTTATTTATATTTCTGCTTTCAATTTCTTCTGCCATTTAAAGCAACGCACAACTTGCTTGTGTCCTGGATAGGTTCATTATAATTTTCTGATTTTCTATAACATTAGGTAATTAAAAAAAAAAAAATTATAATTTTAATAATAAAAATCAATAAACATTGTAGGTACAAAATAGAAATTGGTCTTACAAATCTTTCCTAACTGTTAAAAAATAATAGATACATTTCGTATTCACCAAATATTTATAATAAAATTTTCTTCGTATAATAATAATTATATAGCCACCTTATTCAAGCTTATCAAAGAGGCAAAACTGAAAAATAAAAACTGTATAAATAATAAATTTGTTTATATAAATAATGTAAAAAATTGTATTCCAATGGCCTATGTATCCGAGGGTAAATTTTGTTAATACAAAAAAAAAATATTATTATTATTATTACATACTTTTCAAAA